TATAAATCTTTAATTTTTTGTATCTGTAATTAGTATAATATTTTTACTGGGGTAATGTAGTTCACCAATTCATTAACTATTTCAGATCAAGAGAATTAAGATCCAGATCTCGATTAACAAGAGGGTTGCGAATAGTTCATCACCCGGACTTCCTTTAAAATGTAGTGAATGTAACAACCCCGGGAATTATGTGTATTAAAAATGTCAAATGCGGAAGCGTAATAAAAATTTTGATTAACATCCCTTACACAATAACCAAAAACGTGCTCAAAATATAAAAGAACAAACTAACTAAAAGAGATACTCGAAAATAAGAACTATCACTACGGAGTCTTTAGGCATCTCCTTCACCGTCTTCCTGCGGAACGGGCTCGGGAACAATGTCTTCCTGATATGAAATGGTTAAATAAGGAATGAACTACACCAGCCCAGTAAAGATATCACACTATTTCACCGCCACGGAGGTAAATGTGGGTAGAAAATACAAAAAAGACCAATGGAGCATAATTTATAATAAACTCGTTTATTAACATAAAAACCTTTGCTGTCCACTTACCTCAGTGAGATCCATAAAACAACATATGAAAGCAATAACATTATCATCATCATGAAATCATATGAACTGTATAACATAATACTTACCACGCCTTTGCATTTCAATCATTAAACAATACATTTTCCTCATTTACCAGCCTACTAGTATCCATGAGGATCCATAGGGGTCCCGCTACCCGTGAACCCTTAACATTTGTAATCCGATTCCAGGGCTGTCCCCATACCCCGTCCGATATGGGCACCAAAATCATGAACCTCAATACCCCGTCCGGTATGAGAGACCACGTTCCCGGTAGGTTCCCTACAGACCCGGTCCGTCCACCATCTCCCAGGATATCTAGTCAGGCTGTCCACATTATCCATTTATCAATTCACGTAACCTTTTATTCCTTTTTTCCTGAGTCACCATTATCAAATCACACACAAACATGCAAACCAATAGTTTATGTCAAACAAGACAACACACAACATCGGTTCTCAGTCATTCAACTCAAAGCAGTAAAACAGTGATATATGCACACAAAACTATGAAATGAAAATATTAGACATCATACTGCATTTAAAACTATAAAATGGAACAAACAATAACTGACCGACAAATACACCAGACTCGGGCTCCATTAGCAACCTTAAATAATTTCACACATCTATTGATTCATGAAATACCTTTTATCATTTATTGAACTTTAATACCGTGATAGAAAATAGGGTGAGGAATCCTTACGTATTTCGGGGTCTGAATACGACTTTACAGTGCGCCTACAGGCTGTCCTTAATTTCCCTGAATTTTTTCCGAGAAACTGAAACGCACTACCGGTACCTGCACGTGTCCCAAAAAAACCTAAATCAGACCTAGGGCCCCTTTCGGCCAATATCGCAATTTCAGCACGGCGGCTCCGCCGTGCTCCGGCGACAGCGGCAGCGATTCGCCTCGGGTTGGCCGTTTTTGGCCGTTTCCGGCCGAATTC